CCTTTTTTTTTCCTGAAATGGAGTTAATTCTTTTCCCTTCAGTTGCCCATAAAGATTGATGATGTGCGTATCAATGGTGACACAATGGACTTCCAGGTTAAAAAGTAGTCATATATCCCCAGAGTTAGTTATTTAATAAATAGTTTTATCCTTTTACCTTATTCGTACCTCCAAGGTCTCCGTGGTTACAGTTTTGACGGAAGCATTCGGTCATTGGTAAACATTCACAATTTCACGTCCATTTGTAATTGAGCCACATGTAATTGAATTTATTCTTGAATCTACAACTTTACTGGACAAACGCCGGCTTCTTGTTAGATAGACTATTTCTACATGTATAGTCATCACTGGGATCTGTATATTTACCAAATAACTTCCTTTGTGCCACGAGTCCATGCATGCCAGGAATCAAGCATGTGTTTAAATTTAAATATTTGAGGTCAAGTTTCCAAAGAGTCTTACTTTTACTGGAGCAGATTTATTTTTCTTTATTTTTTGAAAGGATGTAAATGACAAAAAGAAATCCAACAATATAATATACTGTATGAAGAGGTCCGGTTTTATTTTGTAAGCCACTCAGCATCCAAATCTCAGGGGTGGGTTGTACAAATTGAATATAACAGACTATATGTCCATTTCCCGACTTGTCGTTGTGCATCTTGTTTGTACTAACCTTTACCGTTTTTTTCAGTCGGTGCCTCCCTGTGTATAGTGTATAAATGCTCAAAATCAACGTGTATATTCTGCATGTAAAAACCGCACTCTTTTCTCAAAGTTCTCCTCGTCAGCTGACAGTACAAAACAAATTTGCCCAAGAAAAAAGTCAATTGTAATGTGCTAGGTTAAAAGAGCCAATTGAATTCAGTTTGTTTGATATTGAATTAACAACAAGGGAAATAAAGTTCTGATATGAAGAACTAGAAATGGAAATAGGTGGATTTCAAAGATATTAACAGACTAGTTTGTGTATGGTAGTAGTGTGTTTTATGCTTAAAATACCGCTTCAACTATATTACACTGAACTGTAGAATAAAAAAATTTAAAAAAGGAATATATTTTCTAATTTCTCCCTTTTCCATAAAGCACTCAGTTTGATCTTTTACATCTAGACATATAACAGCTGTGGGTTAGTTTCACGAAGCGGAAAAGATTTGTTGTCATTAAATCATATGTGAAACTGAAGAGAATAAAAGAACAAACTGAAACAAACAAGATGTGGTGCTGAACTCTCTACATCCTATGTCAAACCTGTGTTTTTCATCTGTGTTGTCATTTTTAATGTCTCTCAGCTGCGTTGCTTCTCATGACGATCTTCTAATCTGAGTTTTTTTCCTGGAAAAGAAAAACAACTCTTTCAGCAAATTAGAAAAAAACATATTCAACAACATATTGTCGCTGGGAAAGTATTTTTGGAGCTTCACAAACCTGTAGGAGTTCAATTGCAGAAACCTGAAGTCTCTCCTTCAGCTCATCACCAACAGCCACATTAAACAGGGACCATTTACCATCTGAGAACGTAACTGGAACTGAGAGGACGATGCCATCTGGGAGATTGTAGCTGCCTGCAAGTAGCCAAAAACAATCACCCTGGCTTGATCTGTCAGTGTTAGAGGTCAAATATGGACCGGAAGTTTACCCACAACGACAAATCTTTCTACCTGGACATAGTACACCCAGAGAAAATACTTTATCCGGACTGCACGTGCCATTCCAAGCCCTCAAGATGGTGAGGATCCCGTTGGCAGCTGACATGGCAGCTGCCCGGCACGTCCTTGAAGCCACAGCTGCACGCTGACACCGCACCAAGTCTTGAAAGTCTGTCTCCAACCATTTCCTGGAGGGGAGACACAGAGCTAATTGGCTTTTTGGCATCTCACAGCACAAACAATGGCACAGATATATGTCACAGCAGGGTCAGGTTTGGGAGGCAGTTTTGTCATTTGATAGTAGACCTGCACCCGACATTATCATATTTAGTTTTAGATTGCCAAAGTGGAAGTTATTGCAAGGTAACATCATTAATCTGGTGTAAGACTGCTTTACAATCCTCTAAAATAACATTTTATTGATGCTTAATATTGAAAACATTTGTTCTTAATGTAACAAACCTGTCATGGAAGATCTTCAGGAGGGACTGGGAAAAGAAAGCTGGTCCTTTAATTGCCCCATTGAAGTTGAAAACCTTTGCCCTCTGCAGGTCAATATAGAAACTACCACTGATATTTCCCCACACAGTGACATCTGTGACATCTGGAGTAGAAGAAAAGGGCAAAATTATTTTATCTTGAGTGGAAACTGCTTGTGCTAGAATGCAACCGAAGTTGGTAATTTGAATGAGCTACCTGACGCCATAACTCTCAGCTTCTTTGCAATTATGGCCCTTGCTTCATTCTCCAGTTGGGTTGCCATGGCGACAAATTGGTGCTTGTCAATTGAGCAAGCATTGTCCACAAGAAGAGAGCATCTCAGGTTGACAAATGAGTCCCCGGACACAATAACCTTCACCTCCTTGTTGGCCCTTGTGTCAATCAGTCGTCCGTACTTGGTGTAGATTTCTGAGATTTCCTTTATCCTCTTCTTTTCCTTTTCCTGCTCACTGTCATTTACAACATCACTGTCATCAGAGCAGCTCTCATCCAGGAGGAGGATGACATCAGCTCCTTCGAAGGCTTGCTCCAGATCTGTGTGAAGGCTCACCTGTGAAGAAATAGGTTTGAGTGGCTTTGATTTCCTTGTGATTTAATGTGAAAAAAAAATTAAAGTACTGCACCTGATGGAGCAAAGGGAGAGCCAGGTCCTCCATCTCCATCTTCAGCCCCTGCAGTCCCTCCTCGTCACCCTCCAGGCCCAGTAGGTGGAGGCTGATTGCAGCAACACGGGGGAACACTTCAGCAGAGAGCAAGTTCGGGATCAGGAGGTGGCAGGTTTGGCTGAGAGCACTGGAAAGACATTTTACACCCAATCTGTCAACTGAGAAAACCAATAAAGTGGAGCAAAGTGGATATATCCAACTAAACCACCTGCTGATCCACAGGTGAAGAGGTTTGATAAGACTGACGCGGTGCTTCTCCTCCTCGATGAGGGCGATCTTGGTCTCCAGATTCTCTGCTGCAACACTCAGCATCATATCCGTGGGCATGTCTGATGTGATGTTGTAGTAGACCTACACGATAAATGACTGAATGAAGAGCTTTGCATGTGTGGAATGTCTGATTTTGGAAGTGATGTTACTTCTGTCTACTACCTGACAGTGCTGAAGGAAGTCACTGAAGCCCCCTATGAGCATCCCTTTGCCCCCTTGGTCCACTAGCTCCCTCCAAACCAAAGGGGACTTCTCGTGTTTCCAGCCATTTGTTTTGCAAGTGGCATCCAGCCAGTCCTGCCAGAGACAGGCAGAGGTTAAACTACTCTACTACTACTACTACTACTACTACTACTACTAATAATAATAATAATAATAATAATAATAATGATAATGATAGTGATAATACCTTCCAGTCATCTGGGAGGATGGAGATCTTATGGGTCCTGAAGTTCGGCAGACATCGCTGCAGGGCGTCTGCTAAAAGTTCCGCTTTGGCAAAACGAGGGCAGTCACTTTTACCTGGAGGGATTTAAAATGATAAGAATAAGAGACACGATCGTTTTAAACACAGTTAAATGCTAAATTGTCAAAATTCATCTTCTACCAGCAAGCACGAATTTGGCCATTCTTCACCGGACGGCGTCGGTTGCTAGGAAACGGCGGGTGCTTCGCTAATTTGAGTCCGTGTCGGAAACGCCACAAAAAACCACAATAAGAAACACAACTAAATGCACCTCGACGAACTATTTAAAACGTTTAAAACACTGGATTCATACGAATGAATATAAATAGTATATTTAAGGTGTTTCAGATTTAAAAAATGGCATTTCTTCTATTTTTAGTTTGGCAGTGTTGGCGGCGTACTAAGTTGACAGACGGACCAAATATGGCGGCGCAGGCAGGAACGAGCGTGTTGTGAAGATGGTCGCTCATTACTGTAGCTTTTTTTCTTCTATAAAGGACTTTAATGATCGAACATTATGCGCCATGCGTTATTGTTACTGCCAGATATTCGTACGTTAAGAGTCACAAGGCAGGCGGCATCGTTTAGCTAACATTAGCTAACGTAATTAGCCACTTTTTCAAAACCCGGAGGAGGGAGGCTGTTGACCTTGTTGACAGCTCAGTCACAGCACTTTGTTTTACACCATTTGTAATTATTATTATATAATATAACGGACTGAACCTGTCAGGTAGTTAATAATCCTAAATGAGGGATAGCTGTGTTTATTGAACTCAATTTTCACAGCCTTTTACGCACGTTGCATAGTAGCTTCTTCCTCCAGACAGGATTGCTGAAATCAACCTGGACTTTGAGCCTTTCAGTGGCTCCTCAGTTCTCAGAGGACAATGTCTGTGTGGATGACAGAGGAGGTGATGAGGTGGACCCTTCGCTTCTGCAGCCGCACATCTCAAATGATGCAGCGAGGTGCCCTGGCGACCACATCACTCAGAGACACAGCTCACATCTGGGGCACGAGGCAAAACCAGACATGCCTGCACATGGGTCCTGTCAGGTCAGTGAGGTTTTATTCACAGGGGACTGTCCGCACTGAGGATTTGGAGGAGAAGAAGCTGGTGGCAGATTCTCCACTGCACGATAAAAGCCACTCTGTGGTGAGCGCCTCAGGAGAGAGACAGATGAGGTCCCCTTTCTTGGACCACCTGCAGCGCTGTGGCTCCCCGTCAGACGTGTTGGACCTCACATGTCAGTATGCACCCACGGTTCGACAGGTCAGCAACTGCCTCAACCAAATGTGGAACTCCACCAAGAAGATGACCGACGAGCAGCGGCGCTGTGAGCTGCAGCTGATGTTCGAGCATCCTGAATTTGACACGCTGCTGCAAAAGGCCATGAAGGATGTGGGGCACATGCGCAGTGAAGATGTGGCGTATACTCTCCTGAGTATGGTCAATATGGGTGTGCCTCAAAGCAGCCGTGTGGTCCAGACTTTTCTCAGAGCCTGCCAGGTGAGCAGCCCAGAAAGTAAAGATGTTGTCCCACTTGCAATATTTTCGTATTGTGGTCGTTTTTCCAAATGTTTTTTCTTTTCCACTCACAGGAGAAACTAAATGGTTTTGATGAGAAGAGTCTGTCCATCTTGGCTTCCTGTCTGGAACACATGGAGAGTAGCCCCAATGTCAGTGCACTGAAGGAGGGCATGAGGTACAGCTAGTCAAATACAAGATGCAAGAATTGCTTCATAAAATAAAACCTCAATAAGAATTGGTTTCTTTTTCAGATTAATTCACATTCTTTATTGTGGCTATATCCTAGGCAGGTAGTCGAGGCTCGTCTTCCCAGAATCAAGAATGTCATGGCCCTCCAGACCATGATGCGTATGCTGGGGAAGGATGCCCCGCTATACCTCAAACGGAAACTAGAGGTCTGTTTACAAGTCTTGTTTTTGACCATGTTAGGTACTCAGACGCCTGTCAATGTGAATCTAACATTTTTCCATTTAACTGAGCTATATGTTATAAACTGTATCTGAATCTATTCCATTTGGATTTTTTTTTTTTTCAGAGAAAGGCTTTATCAATGACAGACCAGTTCAGCCTTCCCAACACCCAGCACATGATCTCTACAATGGCCACAATGGGCTTCTACTCCAAACCACTGCTGGACATCTGTAGTCAGAAGATCATAGGTAAAATATTTTCCACAAGAGAAAATTATTAAATGCTTCGGTAACTATGGTTACAAAGTTGGAAACCACCTAGTCACAGTTTGCCGAATTGTCAGAAGAGAATAATTAGAATATTGGGACTAAACTCTTCTGTAGAAAAAACTTTGGACGTCTATTTTAAAGTCTTATTAATGTGCTTTCCCACTTTCCACATCTGTCCTCTCTCATAGAAAACATCCACGGAATCCCCTTCAACAGATTGTTCGCAGTGCTGCTCTCGTGTCGGGATTTGCACTACAGAAACTTAGACCTGCTCACTGGCATTTCAGACTATGTCACCTCCATGCTTGACATATGGACCAACAAACAGGTGCTGCAACAGAAAGCTGTCTCTTAATCCCTTTTTGTCAGATGTTAAATATGTGGTTTGTCCTCTGTAGTGTATTTTATAAACAAACATCTGAAGACGAGTGTTCTTTCATGCCTATAATCACATAATAAGAGTATGAATAACGTTTTTAAGAAGGCTCATGTTAGAAAATAACTCTAGATTTAGAGCTGTGTATGTTTTTTGCCTGTTTCTGTGTCTTTGCAGATAAATTTTTCACCATTACTCTTTGTACTCCTCTCCTGTCTGACCAGATGCTCCTCTTCCTCTCTGTGTTTGAGAACCTCGCCTTCTGTCCTGCGCCCTTAATGGAGGCATTTGTTGAGAGGGTGATTGCCCGCCCAGATGACCTGACACTTAAAGACCTTCACTGTGTCCTAAAGGTGTACTCTTCTCTTAACTACGATCTGCAGCAGCACAGACAACAGTAGGTCACTCACATGTCTCCATCCTTCAAATTGCTCAGCGAACACAGCAAATGTTCCCGTTTTAGGACCAATAAAGGTTTTTATCTTAATTTACTTTTGATTCTAGCTAATTTTAAAAACAGGATGAGACTATGTGTCATTTACCAGATTAAAAAAGACAAGTTGTACTGAATCAATTCTTTAAAAGATTTGGATTTGGAGCAGTTCCTTATGGTCATTGGGGAATTATGAAGTGAATGTTGTCTCAAGTGCAATCGATTAATTTACAGAAAAGGCCACAGAAAGTCAGATATTGCGTATTTGCTACAGTGTCTGGTCTCGGTTGAACGCTGTGGTGTAAAGATGGCAGACGAATAATCCTACAATACTTTGTACAAGTTTTGACGTGTATGTTGGGTTTCATTTTGCTGCTCCAGGTTCCTGGATAGTCTCACTCAGGTTCTGGAGTCGTATCTGCCCAAGATGTCTGAGTTTAAGCTTTTAAAGGCTGTTTTTCATCTGTGTGTACTGGGCCACTTCCCCCCTGCACCTCTGGAGCAACTCCTGCAGAATAGCAAGATGGAGCAGTTCAATGCTACGCGTAAGACACTTAACACACGCATGCACAGTTTGTTGTTGGAATGCTGAGTCAACACTATAGTTTTCTGTCCTCATCCTTTTCTTGGTTCTTCTGTACATTTTTCAGTAGCTAACTACACCCACATACCTCAATATTAACAGTGTCATATAGCAATGTTTTTCAGCATTCCTCCGCATTTTCAGGAGGATAAGCTATTTCTATTTTTTTTTTTGTTGGATTGTTTAATTTCATCCATTTCCACTTCTTCTATTTCTCCCCAGCGCCAAAATTCCTCCTGAGCCAGAATAGAATGTTTCAGACAGTAGACTTGTGTCTCCGTCTCGACCGTCCTCCTCTCCCTCGTCCCCTGACTGTCCCGCCATCATTACTGGGAGATCCAACCCCCTACAGTTCATTAGTCAAGCAGTCGCTCTCACATGCTCTGCAGAGTGTGTTAGAGGACCAGACTGACACGATGCTGCAGGAAACAGTTACAGTGGAAAACTTCTACTTCATAGGTAAAGAGGATTTTTGTGATGCACTTTCTGTTTGATGATGGCACAAAAATCAGTTCACTGTCTGCATTTTGCTCTTTAACTTCCGCTTTGCATTGATTTTCTTTATAAAATGTAAAACAAATTCTTCTTGTGGTAAAACCAATGTGAGCAAGCAGCTGTTGTGTTTGTGTGTTGACTCTCAGATGCCGTGATAACCAAACCTCTGTCAAACCAAACCTCGGTGACTGAAGTGAGTGGCATTAGTGAAAGAGAGGCGTTGTCTCCAGCAGAGAGCAGTCAGAGGTAAGAAATCAGCTCCGATGTGTAGTCGGTAACATCAGAAATGAACAAACACAATCATCAGCAAATCGGCAGTGCACTTATGTCATGTTGGGTGATGCCAAAGTGGATGTGTGGATGTTTTATTCTGATAATATCAGGCTGTGACATGTTATCTATTTCATCAAAAATTCAATTTCATAACTGGATATGCAACAAAAACCAAATGAATTGTGTTTTACATGCAGGACTGTTTGTAACTTATTATTATTATTATTATTATTAACATATTTTAAGTCCTATTTTTACAACAAACAATTGCTTTTTTTTCATTAAAGGTTATAAACAACAGAAGGGTTCAGTGGTTTGAATATAACTTTGCGTTGACTGTTTTTTACAGCACCATCTCTGTGACAATCAAGCCACTGTCTTCTGTCTTTTTGTCAGTTTCTTCCTGTCTTACCTGTTCCTGAATTCAAATTATGACCTTTCAAAATCTGATAAACCCTTTTTCTTTTTCTTCATGTCTCAGAATTGCAGTCATTTGCCCACCAAACTCTGGTTTTTGCTACAGTACCTCTAATCCTCGTGGTTCCCTGGCGGTTATGCTTCGCCATCTGAAGATCTTGGGATACAACCCTGTTCTGGTGAGACTCAGGAACCAGTTTGATTTTGCCAAATTGTTTTAAGAATCCTAAATTTTTTGAAATCATTAGAATTCTAAGATCTGGAGGGAAGTAAGAACTACAGTTACAAATTGGTGTAACCACAAACATTGGTTTTCTGCAGTGTCAGTGTGTTGACTGCATCTCAGTAATAATAAATTCTTTATACATAATTCTGTTCTCCAGGTATCGGAGCAGGAGCTGGAGTCTGTGTCTGAGGAAAAGAGGACGGAGTTCCTCAGGGGACTGATTTTTCCAGAACACCACAGGTCAGACACACAACCTCAAATGGAGCAACTACAATCCTGAAGAAATATGTCGGTGTTGAATGGATGCAGTCATCATAAACACATTGTATTGCTTTGTAAACATTTAAGAAAATAAATATAATGAAGTGTTTAAAATGTATTATGTGGTCTCTGGAAACCTTGATCTGAAAATACTGAGAACTTGTGATTATAGTTAAAAAAAGGACTATTTGTTTTCCGAAAGCAAGACAAAAACTGCTTGAATTTCAATTGAATCTTCTGCATGAGAAGAGTGTTTTTGTGAGTCAAAGTCTGTCACAATAATTATAAGGTTAAGAATGATGGCGTGGCAGAAACAATCTGTCAATCTTGCTTTTTGCAGCAGATGAGTAAAAACCATGCTGCGGAACGAAACCAATAAAAACCTGTGTGAGATTGCAGTAACTGCACAGAAACTGCAAGGTGAGCGAGGTAAAGGTGGAGTCCCTTTGATGCCACCACGTTTGCAGGAAGCACGAGAAGGGGTTGGTAGCAAGTAGAGGAAGACAGGAAGCGGTGAAGATTGTTATGGTTTGATGTGTTCGCCTCCCGTTTTCGTTTATCTGATTCTCATCAACCTTAGTGACGTTGACTCTGAGAAAACACCGTCTGGTGTTACTGTTTTCACAGATATAAGAGCGTGGAAAAAAGAAGTGTGGTGTTTACGGTAATTTATGTTTTTGTGACACCATAGTTTGTAAAGGCCCCCTGGTGTTTTTTATTTGGAATTAATGGTCTTTGATACACTCAGACTTATGAGTGGCTTGCGGTTTAAATCCCCTCATTTAGACACCGCCGTCTGTTTCGACCACAGAGCTGGGGGTTCCGAGTGTGAGTGTGTGTGTGTGTGTGTGTGTGTGTGTGTGTGTGTGTGTGTGTGTGTGTGTGTGAGAGAGACAATGAGGGAGAGGAACACAAAGAAAGCGAAAACCAAAACAGTGAATTTATTGTTTTTTACAACTGCAAAGTTAACTGCTACTTCTGCTGTGTAGACATGATAAGCAGGTTTTAAACTTAAAGAAACCCCCCTATCAAAATAATGTTCTTTTCAAAACAAGCTACAAGGACGTCCCTTCTTTTTATACACAAGTAGTAGACATAGTTGTGAAAATGGTCGAAGGACGTGTGTGAGATCAGAAGTGTCGTGGTATTGGTTTCTGAACCCCTCTTTTCTTCCTGCCATCCCTCTGCCCTCTGGGTTTGGTGTTCATGTAATCGCTCTGGGAATCCATGTTCCTCATCCTCACCTGGAAGACACATAAAGGGCAACTGAACAACAGCATCTTCTGTCGTTATCATTCAGGACACACAGATCAGAAATGAACATAAAATTGTAAATGGGCAGAACAGAATTATTTGGAGGTGACGGTGCTCGTAGAAAACATTCATGCCGTATCTACATGTTGTACCAGTAAGAACCAAATATTCTACACTTTCAAAATCATCCCATATTGCATCACTCCCATCTTTCTATTTCTTTCTTTTTTATTTTGATATTTAGAATTTGAGTCTCTTCTTTCAATTTCAGTTTTGATTGTACAGCTCTTTGAAAACATTACCCAGTGAATTAAAGGAAATGCTCACGACGAAAAGTTATTTTTCAGTGTTGCTGTGCTATATAAATTGTATGTTCTTCTCGGTTTATGTTTTATATTTCAAACTCCTCTGTGTCAGAGAAATATCTTACCCAGTTGACGATGGCGATGATGGTGACAGTTATGCTGTAGATGCTTAGAAGTACAACCATCAGAATCCAAATCCATTTATATATTTGGCTTGAATTATCACCATGGTTACTGCTTTCTTTATTGCACTTGCAGAGGTGTCCTGCAAGAAGCATATCCAGGAAGTATTCAGTGTTCTGTTAAAGTATGCACAGTATGTCAAAACATGCACTTTCCATCAAAACTTATTTATATTATATTTACCTTCTACAAGTACCTGGATCATCACAACACTGGGCACTCCTTTAAAGGGAGGAGGGAATGTAATGATGCCTTCACATCTGTAGGTTCCATGGCTGCTCTCATTCACTCCGGTGAGGACGAAATCCACCGATTTTTGCTGTTTGCGCTCCACCTCCACCCCCACCCTGGCGTTGAGCACTGTGCAGTTTAGTGTGTGGTTTTCACCAGTGCATGAGACGTTGGAAATCAATTCCTGGCCCTTGAAAAGGTTAAATGTCATTTCGTCTTCAGTCTTGATTGGGCACGGCACATGCACGTCTTCTCTGTTGGCTACGCAGACAGTTTTCAGCTGCACTGGAGAGGAAAAATATATGATGAATCAGTTTTTGAAAGATTTTCCACAGCATAGCGCAGTATTGTGTTTGCTGTTGCTGTAAACAGAGTCAGGATGATGCCGAGGCTAAACAACCTTTCAAAGGAAATGGCTTCCTACTGCTGCATCTACTGATGAATTTACTTGAATAGGATTTCTCAGAACTAAAACTCAGGTACTGCAACTCGACATTTCACAGCAACCCACATGGAATATATTACACAGCGGTCTGATCACGTTTACTGCACCTCTGTTAACCAGCCTCACATTTCACATTCACATGGAATACAAAAATGTGCAATTCGAGTGGCATACTTGACTCAGAAGCTTGTGGTTTAGATGCAGCACCTGGTGTTGTGTTTTAGTGTTGAAATGAAAGCAACGGGTTATATAATATTCCTCTGTTGACTGATACATGTAGTCAGACACTGTTCCCACAAAGGCCATTTTAAGTACTGGTAAACTGGTTATAAGGGAGGATATGCTTATTATAAGATATAGAGAAATGTGTACTTTCAGATCTGACTTTCCATGTGTTATACAGTCTATGGTTCAAACTCAACAATAGAGCAGTAGAAAAGTAGGAAATTCCACTTCTGCAATTTTAAAAATACACTAACCTGCTTGTTCACTGTGCAAAGACAGAGGAATGCTCACATCAAGCGTTCAAAAAAGAAACCAAACAGTAACCATGCATGCTGAGGGAAATCTCTCGTTTCTTTAAACTATGTATGCAGTAAAAACTTACCATTGCAGGGGCATGTGCTCTGAGACACATGAGTGGTACATGATGACCTGCAGCCTAGGAGCAGCAGAAACATCCAGCTAACGCTCATCTCTCGCACCGTGAGTGTGAACTTGCCTCCGACTGTAGAATAATGTCCCCAAGGCTTTTTTCCTCATCACCTTAAAACCTAAAGATCATCCAACAGCAAATTACACAAGCCGTCTCTCCGATACTATCCGCCCTGGTGCCATGCATGCGTCCCACTGACGTTATACATCACCTCCCCGTTGTGTGTCTTGATTGAAAAACACCCACAGTGCTGCAGTGACTGAACCTCGCATACTCTCTTGAGGGAAAACATCCTGTTTTAAAAAAGGCAAAAAAAAAACACCCATCCTCTTATGAAGCTGTCTGTTCTCTCACAGTGTGACCTTGATGCCTTTAGGTTCCAGCAGTATGATTATGATCATGTGTTCATTTAGCACCAGGGGTTCCCAAACTTTTTATCCCCTGACCCCCAAAATAACTGCACCAGAGAGTTGGGACCCCAATTATCCCTTAGGACGTGCAATGTCTCCTGTGTTGCTGTAAATTAAACTTAATGCAACGGAGGCTGTCCTTAATTTGCCATAATCACCTTATGGGTCATGTGCAGATAAAAATCTGAAGTATACCAACATATTTTGTCATTTTCATTTTAGTTTTATTTTATATAAGTAAGTACAATTTAGTTCATTGTTGTATGCCACTTCATTTTTTAAATTTTAATAACCCATTTTAGAACTCCTGGTTTCCTGTAGATGCATGAACCATATTTAAAACGTATTTGCATGAAAGAGACAGAACGTGGTCATTATGTGTCACTGTAAATATGTATATTTTCTGCTGAGTTGCCGTGTGCGTTCAAGGAGTGGGAGGAGTTGAACTTTGCCGCCCCAGCAAGAGGTGGAGTATGTGACCAAAAGTGCAATGACCCGATGTTCCACTTCAACCAGGCAAAGTTTACTGAACACAGTGAGTGAGAAGTGCCAAACAGATATCAAACTGGTTTCAAGTAACATTTGAGTGGTGGCCAAAAGTGTCATGACCCCACTAAAACTCTGAGAATCAGTTTAAGAGAATTCAACCATTCTGTGTTAGACCTCATTATCTTTGTCAATCATTAAAAAAAAAAAATCACATAGCTGTAATGGGTTTGAGAAGAAAGTGCAATATGTGTCGTGGTCCACTAGAGGGCAACAAATCATTTTATTTAGATCAGTCTTTCGATAAACTGCTATGAAAGCAATAAATTCAAAAGTATTCTTCTCTGTGATTCTTACTATTTCTAGTTTTGTGCAGGATTGACAGATGCAGGGATTAGAGGCCATTAGAATATAAACTTTGTGTGGCAACACATGGTGACAGATTCATTGTGAAGTGGGGATTATAGCATTCCCAAAAAATGTCTGATGAAGGGGATTGTCGGCCTCGTAATGCCATGTGTCCATATGGATAACACGCAATAATCTCTTAATCTGGTACATGTCCCTTTTGTCTGGCGGGGTGTCTTTAGGGGACAGTCTGTGATAATCCATTTAAAAGATATATTTTTTTAAAGATATTACTGCATTTCGTTGCTTTGTACTTGTGACATGTGCAATGACAATAAAGTTGAATCTAATCTTTTATCTAGATTCTTAAATGAATAATAGTAATAAATATTAGGGCTTGGAAATAACGTAAATCATTAATAAACACAATGACATTTTCATTAATAGAAATAACAAAAATCCAAAATAAAGCATATTCTTTATGAAAGCACAGTGAGGGGTTTCATTTTCTATAATTTAACTATACATTAAAGGTTTACATGATTGCTCTACCTCAGATCTCATTTTTTTAATGAAATGTTTGTTATTCTTCGCTCATAATAAAGAGTTTTAACCCACCAATGTAAGTATTTAAATAAACAAATAACAGTAATGTGACATTTATAGTGCTAATCATCAATATCGACTGACAGGAACATTTTATCGATATAATTTTCTTTATCTTTATCTTCCTCTTCCTCCTCTTTGTCTTTTTCTCATTATGATGATTATTATTAGAGAGGGAATAGCAGACATAGGCAGTAATGGTGACTAACAAAAGATTATCTTATCTTCTGAAGAAACCAAATGAAGTGTGTGATTTTTTTTTTCTCTCCAGCTAATTAAAATAAAATACTTAAAATTAAATAAGTGTGATCAACTCAGTTCAATGTACTCCCCAGATCAACCCTGAGAAGTGTCGTTATTTCCCACGGGCCGTGAAGGCAGCGGGGCTGGACAGGAAACGACGGAGCTCCTCATCAGCTCCTCGCTGCTCAGCTCCGGGAGGGAAGAATGGGAAAAGGCGACGGGACGAGGCAGCGTGTGGAGACATGAAGACAACGGGCTGTTTTTAAACTAACTCACATCTTTATAAAAACAGATAGACACACTTAAACCGCCGGGACTTTTCTGCTATTCTCCTCCATCCGAGGGCTGGAGGGAGATTTCGCTCCCGTTGGAAAACGCAGCCTCCTCTTTGTGAGTCTCATTTTCCCTGTGAGTACGTTTTTCATTTTTAAAGACCACCTCACACCTTTATTTGTCTTTTCCACACGAATTACACACTCGTACTTGAAATGTCAACACGTATAAATGCCAAGATAATCATTTGTCTGTCCCGCAGTGGGGGGATTTGCAAGTTTAGGATGCTAACGACGGGACAGCCCACCCATCTTAGATTTTTGTACCCAGGGAAAAGTGGATGTTTGTGGCCACAAACAAGCTCAATGTGCGGTAATAAATGTGTTGTTAGAGGTGGGGGGGTTGCATGTCCCCCTCATTGCGGCCATCGAACAAGCCCTTTTCTTTGGGGAGGGGGGAGAAGGAGCTTTACATTTGAACGTGAGCCCATTGTTGTGGTGCATTTGGCCCCAAAGCCAAACCCTGTGTCCGGGTGGAGGTCTTTTTAATTCCCCTCCTCTGCATCCAGCTCCAGGGATGAATATAGTCTCCACCCTGTGCAGCGGCAGCAGCCTCCGGGTAATGGCCGATGGTTTTGTCGCGGTTGTGTTCCTACATCTCACGGGAACACCCTCTTTATTTACGCCTCTAAATGCCATGTGAGATAAATGTTCATTTCTGTGAGTGTGGTTTGGTTGAGCTCGTCATTCGCTGCCTTCTTCGCAGCGGGGTTTGAATCCCCTTTGTTGGATGATGACGCCGGCAGCAGATCACCAGCAGCCAGTCTGACCAGTGGCCATCACCAGTTCAATGCTAACACCCACCTCATGCTAATCGAGCTAACTCTGCAGTGTTTTTAGCTGTTCATGGTTAAAAAACCTCCTCAGTGAATCCTGGTGGGAAAGTTACTGCACAAACATATGTTGTGTTTACATGCAAATCATGCAAATAACTGGAGGGAGCTCAGATGCAGTGTTTCCCTCCCAGACAGTAACACAGGCTAGATGATGACCCCTCCATTGACCGTCAGGTTCAAAGGTCATTGTGTAGAGGAGCTGCTCACCATGCCACTGTCTGGCTGACTCTCCCACATGGGCCCAGGTCCTCACACAGACAACTGTGTATGTGTGTTGGTTTTTTTCTGCTTAAAGGGTGAGTTCACCCCAACATGACTGGGAGGCAGCAACATTAGGGGAGGCAGTAGCTCAGTCCATAGGGACTTGGCTTGGGAACCGGAGGGTGGTCGGTTCAAGTCCAGCATGGACGGTAGTTGGAGAGGTGCTAGTTCACCTCCTGGGCACTGCCCTTGAGCAAGGCACCAAACCCCCCCAGTTGCTCCCCGGGCGCCTTCATGACTGCCCACTGTTCCGTGTGTGGTCACTGTGTGGATTGTGGTCCGTGTGTGCTCCGTTCACACGGATGTGTTAAATACAGAGGTCAAATTTCCCGATGTTTGCATGTTGCATGCTGTGCGTGGGACCAAAAATAGGAATCTTAACATGACTCATTCATTCACTCATTATCTATTCACCACTGTGTCGATGGAGAGGAAGGTTAAGTGTTTGAGTCCACAAAACACTTTTGGAGTTATCAGGGGTAAACAGGTTTGCAGCCAAATCCAACATAGTTAAAGTAAACACTTCAAATGTAAAACAAAACAACAGAAAAAACATAAAATGCCTCAGTACTGCTCTTGTGGTGTCACCCACCCCTCCCGTGGGATAGTGGTGACAAGATAATGAGGGGATTTCCATTTCTGGGTGAACTATCCCTTTAAACATAGACCCTAAGGTTAAAATTAAGATGTGAATGATGATTAGGTTTTGGTTAGGCTGTCAAAGAATATTAGCAGTGAAACCCTCAGGTGTGCGTAAACACAGACCTTTTCAGGACCAGTAGACCTCATGGAGACCAAATGAGGCAAAACAACATTTCTGAGGTTCTGGTTAAAAAACACTCAATTAACCCTCATTTAAAGCACCATTGATTGATCAAAATCCAACCATAGAAGGAAAAAATAATCGGTAATAACCGATATTTAGCTGTATCTCTTCAGTTGAAGGGTGAATACAGCAAAACAAACAAAATGTGCTCCAAAAAAGCCACTAAGAAGCCACTTGTCCTGTCTTTTGTTCCCCACACTGTGGCATTATAATAGACCCTCTGTGTCCCCCAGGGCACGCTCGATTTGCACCCACAAAGCACCAGACGAGAAGCACATTATTTTAGGCATCGAGACAGCGCAGCAACAATGCGACCCTTTCCCTTGCATTGCAGTCAATGGGTTGAAAATAACCAGTGGCCTTCTGGTCGCCCCCTTCACCCTCAGGCAGACGCCTTTAAAGCTTGTTATGTTTTTTTGCAAGAGGAAAATAGCGGCAGCTTGGAGTCCGATTTCAGCAGCTGCCTATTCAGAGACACAAGATGATGAAAGAAAATGTACAATGCCCCAAAGCACATCTGGAAACCCCACTGATGCCTTGTTTTTGTTCCTTTTGGGCATTGTTATACTGTGGCTTGGTATCCTGTGCTGTGTCCAATTATGAATGTTGTTTTTTTAAGAATATTAATGGTCATACTGGTTATGGAAAATGTAAAGAAAATATCTGCTGTTTTTGACAAGATGCATGTTTTTGAGTTTATTTAAGGGCTGTGGCTCATTTCCAACAGGTAGTTGAAGCAAACGCACAAGTTTTTCAGCATCAGTGCTCTGTAAAGGCAATCATACAAATCGAAAGGTAGAGAGTAAGGACATGCAGTATATAATGCTGCACTTCATGTTATGTTATGAGATCATACAAAACATCTGAATTAACCTGAAGCCGCTGCATTCAGCTCAGTCATGGATTACGTTTCTAGCCTCAGAGCTAAAACATATGTGCGAACAGAGCGTGTCAGTCAGTTCACTGCCCCTGTTTAAAAGCACATTTTCCCCTTCCACTCTTATAGAACAGAGAACCAAGGGAAGAGAGGGATATACATATATTTTGCTCTAAATACATAACCAGTAACATGGTTTTCTCATTTATCCACTCTCGTCTTGTTTTGCCAAACGTGGAATGGGAGAAGAAGAAAAACCCATCTGCTTTCCTCCTTTCATTCCTTCGCTTCCATTTTTTTCTACGCTTGATTTCCTCGGGATGTAAGTTGATTAGATTTGAAAAACAGTTGTCAGTGAAATTTTGGACTTGAGGAATGATCCCCAGAGACTGTGTATGTTCGAAGAGGGATTTGAAAGCTATTCTCAGTTTGTGTGTGTGTGTGTGTGTGTGTTAGTGTGTGTTAGTGTGTGTGTGCGTGTGTGCGTGCTCTGTCCGTCTGTCAGCGCTTTCCTGGCTCTGCTGTGCGAGCTGCCATGTCTGACCTCTGCCCATCCATCCCAACCCCTGTCTGTGGGCATAAGACTCCTGCACAAAAGCTCCAAAGACGAGAGGCTGGGGGGGCGGCGATGGTGGTCGGTGTAAGTTTACAGGTTGTGTTACAGCCGCCGTGGGCGTAGGTGGGTAAAGGTGGAGAGCACGGGATGGGAGGATGGCACTTCAAACGCAGCCTTCAGAGGCACACTGATGGAACGCCGGGGGGGAGAGTGTAACCTGATGTTTCCACAGTGATAGGAGCGTCTTGGGCTTCAGGTTGGGGGACTGGAGAATATAAAGGCCACCAGCTGCACCAGGGCTCGGTCTCATGATGCCAGACTAGATGGGTGTGTGTGTGTGTGTGAATGAACGCGAGAGAGAAAGTAGCTGTGTGTCATTCCACCTGGGTGTGTCCCCCCCCACTTGTCGCAGGCACATGGTCCCTGCTTGTATAGGGCCTTGTTCTGGTAACATTTTGCTGACCTTTGGCGGCAGCTGCCCCTGCCATTTGGAAACAAAGACAAATGGTGAACCAGCCCGTCTGTGGCCTCCAAAGCCTCGCCTCTTCCATATAGCATGTTGCTCTTCCTGTTGGCCTTTTCATACACATTTAGAAACTTTCATAAATGCCCTCAATTACAGGAAATTAATTGTTTAAAGCTTCATAGTGCAGCCTTCTCTTGTGTGATGATTGATTTCTGGTCCTCTACAAGGGAGACTTTTTCACCAACACCACGTACAACCATGTGGGGGCGTGTTGAATCGTTCCCTTGCTGGATCATACGCTCAAGCTGTATCAGTGTAAGGACGAGGCAGCGTCTATGCTCCGCATGCAGCGCTGATCGGAGTAGGCAGAAGGAGGGCATGATCTCGGTCCTCGTTCAAGCGCACCGGGAGACAAACCGCTTTACAAAGACAACGAAAGATACTAACGGTGATGATTGACCTACAATCGGATCTCCTTGCCATGTGAGTTTTCATATCTGTGCCAGTGGGCGGTGAACGTTTTCTCCCGGAGTAGATAAAAAGTGATAGTTCTGTCCCTTTACTCTCGTCCTCTTGTTCTGGCTGCATTGTATTTTGGCCCATTTTGGCTACTGTCATTGTAGAAACTGATCTGTCTCTGTCTTGAATGTAGGATTTCCATGTGTGTAATTATAAGTCAGCACCTGGGAAAAAAAACGGGGGTCTAGAATTGAGCCCAACATTAAAAATTGCTATTTTTCTTAACCAATAGGGCATCGCTTCAAATTTTCAGCCTGTATTTACACACTACTTCTTCCATTACTTGTTTTCCTACATTTTATCTAATCTGTTATGATACATTTCCAACCTGTTGTATTATTCATTCATTAGCTGTCTCTTTTGTTTGCTGCTGCTTTTCACTGAACAGTTTGTTTAAGCGGCTTAGGCAGCTATTAATCAGTGTGACTTTGACAGTGGCAGGTGGCTGACTCTCATCGCCTGGTTGCTACTGTATTATAGAAGGTCTGTTTCATTCCGTGCCGTCAGGGGTCTTTGTTAATTCAACAGTGCAGGAGACAGGAAATGGAGGGTGCTGTAAAAATGAGCTCTGTGGTGGAACTGGTGCTCTTAGTCATGCAGTCCGCATGATCAGCACCTGTGACTGCTGCAATGCCTCCAGGCGCTTTGCTGTGTTTTTTGTGCTCCTATCCTTCAGTTAAGTCACCCACAGTTGGGTAATCACCCTGAAATTGATCTGAACATCCAAGGTGGGGA